CGCCTTTGTCCGCAGCGCGCTGGGAGGGAGGGATGGAGGGAGCGAGCGAGGGAGCCGGACAGACCCCGCTGACAGCTCCGGTTCCAGCCCCGGCCCGGCCTTGCGCAGCGCCGCCCCCGGCCCGGGCCGCTCGCCCGCCACCGCCCCTTAAAGGCACAGCGGGGCCGCGGCCGCTTCACCCGGGGCAGGGCCTCGGGGAGCCGCTTCGGTCCAGGGCACGGCACCGCACCGTGTTCCTGGAGGGCCTGGGGACCCGTCGCCTGGCTCCTGCCGGCGCTGTGCCCGGTGTGGTCTGCGTGCTCCTGCTGCGGGAGGGCAAACTCTGCCTGCAGAAGCTGCTGCTCCCCAAGCCAGGGGTGCAGAGAGCTCTGTGTTTGTGGCCCTGAGCCTCGGCTGTGCCCCTCCAGCACACGCTTGCTGTGGGGGGCACTGCATGACACACATGGTGGTGCTGCTGTCCCCACACCCTGTCTGCCCTGCTCGGCCCAGCTGCCCCAGCCCCTGCCCACCCCATCCCATTCCAGGGGACGGGGGAGAGTGTCTACATTTGTCCTTAGAGGGGACCAACCTGCCTGCAGCAAGTGTACCCCCGGGTGAACCAGGCCAGCTTTCCTTTCTGCCTTCCTTCCAGCCATCTATGATTGCTTCCTTCCTTCCTCCCTTCCTTTCAGCATCCCATTCTTCTCTCCCTCCTTTCTCCATTCCTCTGGTTCTCACCATTTCTCACCTCTCTCTACCCCTCTCTCTTTACACCTCTCCATCCCAGTGCTGCAGGAGCTGTGGTGACTCCTTTGGTTGCCCCAGCCTGTGGTGCTGCTGGGGGTGCCTGGTTTGGGGTGGGCTCAGCAGCAGCTACCTGGGCCCTGACCGCAGTTCCCCTTGTCCTGCCACAAAGAGCCGTTAAAGAACTGGGTGAAGCTTTGCCCTGGGGCAAGGGAGGCTGAGGGGTGCCCGGGGGGGGGTGCTCAGGGATGCCTGGGGTGCGGGTGGTCCCATGCCCTGCTGTTGGGAGCCCTACAGGTGTGTGGGCAGGGGCAACCTGGGGCTGCTGCTCTGCCGTGACCCCAGAGGTTTCCTGGTTTTCCTCCAGCGTTGTAATGCTGGGGAGATGCGGTGTCGAGGTGACCTGGGCCGGGGGGGTCAGCCAAAAGGCTGGCCAGCCGTGCACCCTGCTCCAGCAGCGGCTGTTGCTCGGTCCCTGGGGAAGGAGGGATGTGTCCACCCTCGGCTGCTCCCAAGGAACTGCATTTGGGCTGTCCCCAGCCCACACTACAACCACCTCAAAAAGCCCTACCCTGCAACAGAGCGAGTCCCCAGCTCAGCGAGGAGCAGAAGAGAGGGTCATGTGTGGAGCTATGGGTGATGTGGGCTCAAAGCCCTGACCTGGATCTCCTGCCAGGCTCCTTCCTCCTGCCCCTGGGTGGTCTTGATGAGCTTCCACAGCTCCTCTTCTGCTTGTCATGACCATGAAACCCCGTGAGGGGCCAGCAAGAGACAAGACAGCATAGCTCCAGGACCCAGTCACCTATCTCCTCTATGGACCTAGGGATGTGAAGTCCGGGGGAGCTGTTGGCCTATCTCCTCCATGGACCTAGGGCTCTGAGCATCTCTCAGGGGACCTCCTTGGGGGGTGGCCAAGCTCCTTTATCTGTGTGGTGTCATCTGCAGATGGCAGCACCCACCTGCACAGTGCTCACATTACCTGATGGCCCTGGGGCCTGGCCCCCCACTGCCAGGGGCTTCTGGCCTGGCTCAGAGCACACAGGCAGTCCCAGCCTCTGGCACCACGCTGCCATGTCGCTGTGCTGCAGGGGTCCAGGTGTCTGCACCCACTGCCTGCAAGGAACTCCCCCAGGACATTGTTCCTTATGCCAAGGTGTCCTGGGGCAGCATCCAGCAGCGATGGCTACATGTGCCAGGTCAAAGCTCCCTCCTGCTCTGCCACCCCCCCCAGCATCCCCCAGGGCATGTCCCTAGTGCTGCCCCCCAGTGCTGTCCTCTGTGAAGGGGAATGGCCCTGTCCCGTGTGCCCCTGCTCCCTGGGGCGGTGCAGGGGTGAAGGGGACAGCAGCAGGGATGGTGCTGGCAGGGAATGCTGCCTGCAGCCAGCAGGATTTGGACAGGCAAGGCTGGGAATGGTGCCCCCCGGGCTGTGCAGCACCCAGTATCTGGCCTCTCAATCATGCAGGGGAAGAAATGCAGAAAGAGGGCAAGAAAGATAACAGGAAACAGGGGGCATGGCTGGGGAGGAAAAAACACCCAGCCTCAGAGCTGCAGTTGGGCTCTGAGGGCTCCCAGGGCGGCACTGAAACCACAGAGCCCAGCTACACCCTGGCACGGTGGCACTGCACTGTGCCCAGCCACTGCCTGGCCCCTTACCTGGGACAGTGGCAGGAGCAAGGGGCCAGGGGGGATGCAGACCCCAAGGGTGCTGGAGCAGCACAAGGATCCCCATGGAGTAGCATGGACCCTGCTGCCAGCTCCAGTGTGCCAGCTCCAGGGGCAATGCTGCATGCTGGGGGCCCCCTCTGCACCTCTGCCTCAGTTTCCCCATCTCCTTTTCCCTGCCAGGGCTTTCCAGAAGATTTGGTGCCCAGACAGCAATGCCAGCACAGAAGACAACCAAGTGTGTGGCCAGAGGAGGACAGGGCCAGGGAGAGAGCTGGGGTACAGGTGGCATCTTTCTGTGAGACTCACACATGCCCACTTCCCCTTCTGGCAGTAACCACACAGCTGGGGTAGGTGTGGGGCTTGGCAGCACTGAGGAGCTGCTGTACCTGCCCATTTCAAGATGAGGCAGTGGGAGCCAGCACCAGGCTGGTGTCCTGGTTTCAACTGGGTGGCACCTTGAAGGGGCTCAGGGCAGGTTTCCTGCACCCACCCCAGCAGAGGCAGGGTTCCCAATGCCATGTACGCAGCAGGGCAAGGTGCTGGCTCCTGCCATGACACAGGCAGTGCCGGTGGCTGTGCCAGGCTGTGGCTCCATCCCACTGGCTCTGCAATGGGCAGCAGCAAAGGCTGAAGAAGAGCCTGGTGTCAGTGCAAGACAAATGAGTACCTCGCTGTTCAGCTGCTGCTGGGTGACTTCAGAGAGAGCCGCATGAGCCAGGGGCATGCAGCCAGAGGGCACCCACCAGCTGTGGGACACAAACCCAGTCACAGAGCACCTACCCAGGCATGGGGCACCCATCACCTCTGGGGCAGCACCCAGCTGTGGGTCAGGGGAAGTGCAGGGAGGGGGCTGTGCCAGCTGCAGCATGGCAGGAAGGACCCAGTGTGGGGCCAGGAGGAGGCAAAACCACAGAAAAGAGGAAGCCCTCGAGTGCCCCAGCCCAGCAGCAGCAGTGCCAGGGCACACGCACACGGACACGGGCATCTCACACAGCACCGCAGCCTGGCCCGGTAAGTCTGAGCTCAGCACCAATGCCCAAGGCAGGAAGAGGGGCTGAGGAACAACCCCAGCACTGCCGGGGAGGGTGTCCCCACCGGAGCATCTGCAAACAGGGCCAGGGACTGGTGAGCAGAGGGACCAGAAGTGCAGTGCAGGGAGCAGGCAAAGCTTTCCCAGCCCTCCTTGCTTGGGATGCCGGGTTTTCCTGGAGCCTAAACTTAGCCTGTGTGTTTTAGCAGAGGGGCAAGGGCAGGGAAGGGGTTTTTCACAGAGCTGCAGTAGCTGGGGTGGGAGAACCGGGCACCACTTCTCAGAAGGCTCAAAAACCATGGAAGAATGGGCACAGCCCTGGCCAGCAGCCCATGGGTTTCCAGGGGTTACCTGGAAAAGGAAACCACCCTGGGTGCCAAATGTTGGAGGTTGCATGTGGGTGCTGAGCCCCATGTCTGGGACTGGCGTTCCTGCTGCCTGCGGGGCTCAGGCTGCAAGCTCCCAGGTTGTTGGGGCTCCCTGCGCCCTTGGTGGCTGGGGAGAACACCCCAAACGGGGGGGCAGCCCAGTCATCACTGCAGGAGGCTGCTGGAGCAAAAGGGCACTTCTCAGGCAGGACACCCCAGCTGGGGGTTCAGACTTCCCAGTGATTCCAGGTAAACACCATTCCCAGCTTGGTCCCCCATTATCACCCTTTGGTGTGGCCCCATCCTGCAAACTCCCAGGCACCAGGTGGCATTCCAGACTTGACCCGGGCAAGCAGGAAGCATGGAGTTGGGACCGTGGCTCTTTGTCAGTGGGGAAACTGGAGACCAGAACAAATACCAAGGGCTGAATCCATGGTGTGTGAGATGGGGAGTGGTGCCAGGTGTGGGAGACAGAGCTGGCTGCTGCCCATCAGCCCTGTACCCCCCCTTCACAAAATCCAAGCCTGATTTCAGTTGAAGGGACCTTAAAGCTCCTCCAGCTCCAGCCCCTGCCACAGGCAGGGACCCCTTCCACTGGAGCAGCTTGCTCCAAGCCCCTGTGTCCAACCTGGCCTTGAGCACTGCCAGGGATGGGGCAGCCACAGCTTCTCTGGGCACCCTGTGCCAGCGCCTCAGCACCCTCACAGGGAAGAGCTTCTGCCTAAGAGCTCAGCTCAGTCTCCCCTCTGGCAGGTTCAAGCCATTCCCCTTGGCCTGTCCCTACAGGCCCTTGTCCCAAGCCCCTCTCCAGCTTTCCTGCAGCCCCTTTAGGCACTGGAGCTGCTCTAAGGTCTCCCCTTCAGGAGCCTTCTCTTCTCCAGGCTGACCCAGCCCAGCTCTCTCAGCCTGGCTCCAGAGCAGAGCTGCTCCAGCCCTCGCAGCAGCTCCGTGGCCTCCTCTGCACTCGCTCCAGCAGCTTCACATCCCCCTATTGCATTGCCCCAGAGCTGAATGCAGAACTCCCCTTGAAAGCACATCCCCGCTTGCCCTGTAGATGGAGATGCTGAGGACTGTGGGAGGGTGACACAAAAGCCACCATGGGATGACACCAGGGGCATGGGGGGCAGCAGGAGATTCAGGGGTCAATGCGGAAGCCCTTTCCCCCGCCCCTCCAGCCCCAGCACCTCCCCACTGCCCCTTGGAAGCTGAGCTGACAGCCTTGGTGTCCTTTCCTCTCTCCCAGGTGTCAGCTTGTCACTGGAGGTGGCAGCCAGCCTGGCAGCATGCCCCGGGTGTCACCGCTGCCCCGGCTGCTGGGGGGCCGGCCCGCTCTGAAGGCAGTACCCATTGCAGTGCTGCTGGCAACCACCCTCTGGAGCCTGAGGTGCTTCCTCAGTGCTCCCCAAGTCTCCAGAGAACCCCCTCAGCACACTGAGCCGCTGCTGGTCCTGGTTTGGGAATGGCCCACAAAGCAGGTCCCCAATGTCAGTGGGGATGTCTGCCGCGAGCTGTATGGCATCACAGGCTGCTGGCTCACCATGGAGCGCCAGCTCCTGCACTGGGCAGATGTTGTGGTGTTCCCCCACACCAGGCTGCAGCCCAGCAGGGACAGCCTGCCCAAGGACAGGCCACCGTGGCAGAGCTGGGTATGGGTGTCCCTGGAGTCCCCATCCAACACTAAAGCTCTAGCGGGATGGAACCAGACCTTCAACTGGGTGATGACCTACAGACGGGACTCGGACATCTTCATCCCCTATGGCAAACTTGTGCCCAACCGCTCGGCCATTGTGAACATCCCTGCAAAGACCAATTTGGTGTCTTGGGTCATCAGCAACTACCACAGGACTCAGAAAAGAGCTGAAGTCTACAAGACCCTCTCCAGGTACCTCCATGTGAACATATACGGGAAAGCAAACAGAAATCCACTCTGCAAGGACTGCCTCTTGCCAACGACATCCAAGTCCAAGTTCTACCTTGCTTTCGAGAACTCCATCCACCAAGACTACATCACCGAGAAGCTCTGGAGGAACGCACTGATGGCCGGCACCGTGCCCGTGGTGCTCGGTCCTCCCCGGGCCAACTACGAGCAGTTTGTCCCTGCAGACTCCTTCATCCACGTGGATGACTTCAGCTCCCTGGAAGAGCTGGCCACCTTCCTGAAGACCATGAACGCCAGCCGCTACCGGCAGTTTTTTGCCTGGCAGAGGCGATACAGTGTGAAGCTCTACACCGACTGGAGGGAGCGGATCTGCACCATCTGCAGCACCTACCCCAGCCTGCCCCGTGGCCGCATCTATCCTGACCTCGAGAGCTGGTTCAACACCTAGAGCTGGTGTGCTGGGACCATTGGGGAAGAGGGTACCAGAGGATACACGGAGCAGTCCTCAGCAGGCCATGGGGCAGGGATGGATGTGGGAGTCTGCACCCCTCCTCCCAGCCTGGCTGTTGCCACACTGGGACCTTCAGCACCTACTGGGATTTAATTTCCCATGAAACTTAACACCCCCCCCCCCCCCCGACCCACTTTACCATGGAGCAGGAAGGATGAGATGGTGCTTTGGAAATAAATGGCAGTGCTGCAAAGGCTCTGCTTGTGCTATGGGGCAGGGATAGGGGTTGGGGGGGGAGGGTGTGGGGCTCCTCAGCCTTCCCCTGCCATTGTTCTGTGCCCTCCCCAGTGAAGCTGCAGTGCCAGAGGCCCTGTGGTGACATTCCTGGCTGGACTGGAGGAGTCAAGGTCAGATCAGCAGGGACAAACCGGCACCCCATGGCTGGAGATAGAGCACAGCCTCTGCTCCCCCGCTTCCTGGCCCACCCCAGCACGCATTTCCCCCCACAATCCCTGTGGGTGTCACCGTGCTGGTGAGGACCAGGACACCGGATGCTCTTGGGTGCAATCTCAGCCCGCTCAGTGCAGTCAGAGGGATGCTGTGGTTTCTCACTCTCCTGCCCCGATGCAGCAGGAAGCCAGCCACACGGTGGAGGCTGGAGCCTAGCAGCAAGCCCAGAGCAAAGCCAGGCCTCTGGAGAACGTGTGGCACCAGCAGCCTGATGCATGTGCCCTGGGCGGTCCTGCTCACCCTGCACTGCACACACCAGGCACCACACTACCAGCATGGTGCAGAGCTGGACTCGGGGCATACATTGTGGGCACCCTGGCCCATGCACACACCTTGCACCTGGGCACAGGCAATGCCAGGCACCCCAAGGGGACACCTCCACCTAGGATGAGTGGCAATGCTGGGGCTGGGTGACCTGACTAGGCAGTGAGACAACAGCTCCATCCATGCCTTGCTCCATGCCCCTCAGCTTGGTGCATCAACCCCCTTGATACAAACAAGTCCTTTTCTCACAGCTCCTGTCCCTTTCCTTCCCCGCAGCCCTACATCACCGAACCCCACTGCTGCCACCCCCCAAGGTGCTGCCAGGACCCACTCCCCATGCCCACGGTGCAGCACACCCTCCACAGATGTTGTACCTGCCCCAGGCTGGCCCATCCCTGTGTGCCCAGCCCGGCCCTTGCTGGGCTGCAGTCAGTGGCCATGCTGTGCACTTCCAGTTTCTGAGGCTTCACATTTCAGTTTGGTTTTGACTTCTGGACCAGATGAAAATGAAGCAGGAAGCGTTCAGTGCCCAGGGGCAGGACACTGGGCAGTGGGATTTGGGGTCCCCTGGCGGGGAGCAGGGGTCCTGCCTGGCCAGCCTTATGCTGGAGGGGAAAATCAGGTGGTGGAGATGTGGAGGAGCAAAGCTCAGAGGTGACATCCTTCCCAGGCATCCTGCTACCAACTGTGCAGCAGCACCAGCACCAGCAGGCAGCACAGGGCACTGGGGAGCTAGTGGGGACACAGGGCAAGCCAAGGGGATCCCACCACATAGGGCTGGCATCCTGCCTGGTGTGTACACCTCAGCCTCCGCAGGGTCCCCACTCCTGCCTGGGCCATGGCAGCAAGGCTGGGGCCAGACCCCTTTACTGGTAGCCGAACACAGGAAGGGGCTTTTCAGAGACTTCCTAGAATCATAGACTCAAGCAGATTGGAAAAGACCTTTGGTACCATAAAGTCCATCTGCTCCCCAGCACTGCCAAGGCCACCACTAACCCATGTCACTGAGGGCCTCGCTGACATGGTTTGTGAACACCTCCAGGGATGATTCCCTGGGCAGCCTGTTCCAAAGCCAGTTTCCCTACAGGAGCACAGCCTGGTGCCAAACCAGACTGCAGAGGCCATGGCAGTGAACAGCAAGGTGTCATTTCTCAGATGCTCGATTCTCCTAGCTGGTCTGGCACCCCCAGGCTCAAACAGCTCAGCCCCTGATGCTCACCTGGACCTGCCTGGGCTGGCACCACTTGGCACAGCCACCATGGTCGGATCATGCACAGGAGCATCCCTTGTCCACAGTGTCACACTGGCAGCCCCATGGCAAGGGCAGTCCAGACTTCCTGTACCTTTCCCTGCCCACTCCAGGTCCTGGAGTGCTGCAGCTCCCACCATATCCCTGTGAGGTGCAGTGTTTGCTGGAGCAGCCTGCAATCAGGATACTGCTGCATTCCCACCCTTCCCAAAAGCAGCCATGGAAAAACAGCAACTCCAGTGGGGTGCAGGATGATGGGGGGAAGAGGAACCCAAGAAGCTGCCGCTGTCCTAGTAGTGGGCTGGCCTACAGGCAGCAAAGAGCTGTGTGTTGCTGGTGACAGGCACTCCTCTGGTCCAGCCTCACAGTGCTGCCCCAGAGCCAACCAGGCCGGCCTGCTGGCAGCAGGCAGGAGCAGGGCTGAAGGGAGGCAAGGAAAGGGTTAACCTAATCTCAGGCCCCAAAGAACCGATATTTATTTCATTGTCAGAGGGAATATAATTAAGAAAAAATAGAAATCATCATCAACTACAGCAGGCTCAAAGGCACAGGGGTGCTCGCAGCACAGACAGGACAGAATCAGCCCCCCCGAAAAGATGATCCTTGGGGCAGCCATGCTGGGGCAGAGGGACCACACTGGAGAGGGCACAGGGGATCCAGGGTGATGTTGAGCACCCCCAAAGCAAACCCCAGCAGTAGCCTGCCCATGGATGGGTGAAGCCCTGTTGTGCCAGTGGGTGAGGGTGGCAAAGCCCCTGGGCACAGCACCCCAGCCCCGCTCTGTGTGACAGGGAGGAGTCAAGCTGGGAAACTAGGAATCACTACAGAGTTTGGCTTTTTAAGAACTACAACCAAAAAAAATTAAAGAAAATATTAAAAAATAACAAAATAAAACCACCCCCATCCCCCAAATCATCTAAACCCCACTTTTTTCTGGGTCTCACAGGAGCTGCTCAGCTGGGCACAAATGGCTCCACTCAGCATCCCGGGCACACATGGCTTCAGCAGGGTGCAGTGGGGCAGCTGCCCTCCAGGAGAGGTCAGATGCTGCTGGAACCAGTAAATTCACCTAACTGGGAAGGGCTGGGAGCAATCGCAGGGAGCGGGTGGCATCCCTGTGCCAGGCTTCCAGCCCTTCCCCTGCCCTGCGCTCCCCAGCAAGTGCCCCGGAGCGGGAGCGGGGCCGTGCCTGAGCCTGCTCGGGGGAAAGCTGCCCCACAGAGCCTGCGCAGCCCTGGCTCAGTGGCTGCTGTTGCTCATGGAGAGCCCGGGCTGCAGCGGGGGGGGGAACATCTCAGATTTGTGGAAGGGTGGCATGTAGACAGGAGGGGAGGGTGCCAGGCTGTAGCCCTGGGACGTCACCGGGATGGGCAGGGCGGGGGGCACAAGGGGCTGGTTCATGTCATACATCACCCCCTCCGCCTCGTTGCCGAAGGGCAGGAGCAGCCGTTTGCCCTTCTGACGCCGGTTGCAGAACCAGACCCGGACCACCTGCAAGAGAGGGGAGACAGGGCAGCGTGAGGGGGGAGAGGGTGACAAGGACACCCTTTTGCGGGTGGCATCTCCACAGCAGAGCCCCAACCCTGCCACAGCTCCTCCTGGGACAGGGCTGAGGATGGGCACTCTCCCACAGCTGCTAGTGTTGAACCAGCTGGATGCAAGTGCTTAGGAACCATGGCCATTTGGATACCCGCACCCCAAACTCCTCCAACCTACATCTTTGTCTAGGTTGAGGTCCTCAGCAATCTGGGAGATCTCCTGGGGACTGGGCTTCACACACTTGCGGAAGAAGCTCTCCAGCGTCCCCTTCACGTTGTTCTCAATGCTGGTCCTGCGCTTTCTCTTCCGGGCTTGGGCCAACACTTGCTCTGCATTGCACATCTGAAAATGAGAGAGGAACCATGCACTTGGGTCACAAGTCTAGTGATGTCCCCACCAGGATATGGACACACGTGTGTCTAGGCAGGATGGGGACAGGCTTTGTCCTTGTTACTGTCCACTGAGCATCACCCCATTGTGGCTGAGTGTCCCACCCCTGCCTGCAGCTGATGTAGAGGTGCACATGGCCATGTCTTTCTGCACCCCCCCAGGGAGCAGCAAGCTGCATCTCCAGCCTATCTGTGGTTCCAGCAGGACCTGCCTGCTCCAAGATGGGACCACAAGGTTTCTGGGGGGTGATTTGAGGTCTCCCCAGACTGGCACCAGGCGATACCCAGTGGTTCCTCCCACAGCTGGGCTGAAGGAGGAGCCCAGCTGTGCCTGGCAGTGAGATGCTGCTATGGCACAAAGTACCCGCCGCTCCTTTCCTCTCCCCTCCCCAAAATCTCATGCTAAAGAAAGGGAGAAGCTGCAGCTTGAGGGCTCACGAGTGTGCAGTACCCTGGCTCCAGCCTGCCCCAGCCCCACACCTCTTGCATGTTGTCCGTGTTCTCTGCCTCGTTGAGCCAACGCTGCAGCAGTGGCTTCAGCTTGCACATGTTCTTGAAGCTGAGCTGGAGCGCTTCGAAGCGGCAGATGGTGGTCTGGCTGAACATCTTCCCTGCGCGGGCAGGCAGGACATCACACACTGCTCCAGCCCCCCACCAGTCCCCTCGGAGCCCCCCTCCAGCATCCCTCGGAATGGAGAACAAGGCAAGGCACTCTCCCTGATGCTACAACACCAAGTTAAACTGCTGCAACACGGTCATAGAAGCAGCTGCAGCCATTTAAAATCAGCTCCTTGTTCTCAAACCCTTCTGGGCTTAAGCAAGTACTTAACAGGAGCCCCAGGGCTGATACTTGCCACCTCCTTTGCAGGTTGATAAGGCATTCAGGTATTTCCCCCCAGCCATCCCCCCAGGGCCTCTTCCTTCCCCCCAGTGAGTGCTCACCGTAGAGGGTGCCCAGAGCCAGCCCCACATCAGCCTGGGTGAAACCCAGCATGATGCGCTTGTGCTTGAGGTCCTTGGCGAACTGCTCCAGCTCCTCCGATGTTGGTGCATCCTGGCAGGGGGGCACAGAGAAGCTGAGCGAGGACAGCCCTTGCCCGTGGGCTGCCGATGTGGGGTGGTCAGTGTGGGACAGGAGGGCACCCACCAGCGGCTGCCAGCTCTGGGCAATGGGGTGTTGGGGGCGATGGGGCCGGTGGCAGGGGAGGGCTCTGCTCAGGGATCCCAAAATGTCTCCCCCACCCTGCCGTACGTAGCACCCCCTGCGTACCCCCTGCTCCCCCCCTCGGGTGGTCCAAGGACTGAGAGAGGGTCCGGGAGTACTCAGAGCTCTGCTCCACCGTACCAGGGCGCATCCCCACGAGCTCTGCGCACCCACCGCCCTCCCGACCGGGCAGCCCTGCGCCCCGGACGAGTGAAACGAGTGATGAAAGGGCCCATGACTCCAGCTGGATCCCAACACGTCCGTGCCACAACCCAGCTCTTCCCTTCAGGAGGGCTGCTTTTCCTTGTGCTTCCCTTCCTCCCTTAGCGCAGCCTTCAGCTGCTGCGGGCGCATGTTGGAATCTTTTACCCGATTTCCATATTGGCAGCGCAATCTCGGATCTCCCTCCTGCCACCTAAGCCTTAGGTTTGAATCCCTGCCGGACTTCTCAGCAGGAACCCCGGAGCATCCCCGCCACGAGGCCACCCTCAGCAGGGAAAAGCTGCTCCTCGTAGCCCCCATCAAAGCGGGGACTTCTCCCGCACCGGCAGAGCTCCGATCACCCCCGCAGCAGCCGCGCCAGCGGAGCCCGGCCGAGAGGACGGGGTAATACTGTGCTATGGCTTAAAAACACTAAAACCAAACCGAAACCTCAACTGCCAAACACGAGAACTACCGCTGCCCCCGGCCCAAACCCGGGGTGCCTCTGCCCGGCCCGGTACCCACGAAGCCACGGGACGAGCGGCCAGGGGATGCTGCCCGTCGTCGGGCCGCAGCGAGGCCAGGGTCGACACAGCGTATATCGAGCGATCGGCACCAAGAAAAGCTGCCCCTAGACCCCCAAACCGCCCTTCTCCCCCCAAAACAGCCTCCCCGAAGTGTTTCACCCGCGGAAGAAGGAATCGTCGGGCCTACTTGAAGGGGGGTACCCGACGGAGGGGACGGACGAGCAGGACGGCACCGACGGGGTCCCCGCTAACAGCGATGCCAGATAGCGGCCAAGCGGGTCCCTGCCCCGACGGCGCGTTACGGCAGCGAGGCCCTTCCGCAGCGGCATCGGGGGCAGGAAAATGGGAGCGCGGTACCTGCGAGGGATGCCGGGGCGGGCCGGGCGGAGGGCAGCCCTTGCCTGTTCCCGTCCCGTCGGGTCTCACCTCGTCGCCGCTGTCGCTGGAGTGTCCGCCCTCGCTGGCGGCACCGCTGGAGCTGCCGCTGCTGCCCAGCCCGGACAAGCCCCCAGAGCCCGGCTGCAGGGCGGCGGGGCAGAGCTGCGGGCCGGGGAAGGCAGCGGGGCCCGGGAAGGGCGGACCGGGCAGGGCGGCGGCGGCCCCAGGGGGCGCGGGCCCGGCCCAGGGCGGGGAGGTCCAGGTGGACCCGCAGCAGGCCGCGGTGCGGGGCTCGGGCGAGGGCTGGCTGCAGGGCCGGACCGGGCGCGCCTCCGCCTTGGCGGGCGGCCCCGCGGGGGGGGGCAGCCAGGCGCGGGCTGGCGGCGGATCGCGGGTGGCTTCGGGCTCGGTGGCGAAGGGGAAGAAGAGCGGCTGCGCGGCCGCCCCGTCGAAGCCGCCGCGGGGAAAGGGCGGGCCGGCTTCGGGCAGGAGGCCGAAGGGGGCGGCCGGCAGCCCCCCGTCCGGGCTGAACATGCTGCCCGCGGGCCTAGGGCTCCATGTGGGGGCTGCCGGCCGCTGCCTCCCTGCTGCGGCGCCACCGGGGCCTCTGAGAGCGGCGGGGCCGTGCTGGCCCGTATGGAAATGGACCCCAGCCCCATTGGCCCCGCACCGGTGGGTCGGGCGTGAACTTGATCCCCCCAGGCAGGGGTTGAGGGTGGGGGGCAGGTGCGATGGGAGGTGGGCTGGGTGCTGGGACCTGTCTGTCCCCTTCCCGTCTGGCCGCGGGGCGGGGAGTGCTCCGCTGCGGAGTCTTGTGCCCCTCCGGCTCCGCTCGCCCCATGTGCGGCCAAGGGCAAAGCCCCCCCCCCCCCCCCCCGCCCCAGCTCCGGGGTGCTCGGTGGGATTCACATCCCCCAGTGTTGGCGCAGCATCACCAGCATCTCCTCACCTGGGAGCATCCCAGTGTTGCCGGGTCCAGGCGCGGGCAGGGAACGGGACTGCTCTGGGCAGCAGCCACGGCCTGGGATGCGGGGGCGCAGCCTACCCAGAGCCGCAGCAACCCCTTGTCCTGGGGATGCTGGTGCCATCGCTCTGGACGAGAGCTTGGCAGTCTCCTCCTGCCCCTCTGCAACACCTGATCCCAGCTGCGGCCTCACAAACCGTGGGGTGTCCTGCAGAATGTTTCATGAGCAAAGTGAGGGCTCCCCGGCTCCCTCTCACTCCCACTGGCTTCATTTTGTCCCCCCCCCCCAGAGGAAGGCAATGACATGTCCTTCCTGGAGGCCTCTGCAGGCAGAGAGGCCCCAAAACTCTGGGTGTGCCACCGGGGAGCTAATTGCAGCCCTGGCTATCAGCCCCATTGCTCCACAATGGAGCACGCTTGATATTTTCTCTATCTTAAGGGCTTTCCTCACACTGCCCTTCACAATGGCGCTATCAGGGCCAGCTGCAGCCATTTCCCCATTCCCTCCCTCCTCCAACAGCACTGGGAGCTTCCCCGATCCCGACGCTGCTGCCCCATCAAGCCTCTGCTGGGATCTGCCAGCCCAGCTCCTGCCCGGTGGTCCCAGGTACCCCTGATCACAGCCGGAGCAGGGTGAGTGAGGACCCGGCTGCCAGCACAGCTCCCTGTTTATTAACCCGGATTAGGGGCAGCCTGCTGCTGTCTGGCACTGGAGATAGGCCACAGAGATAGGCTGGAGGAGCCTCCCCCCCGGCGCTGGGATGGGACAGCTGGGGGAAGACGCTTGGTGTTCCTTATGAAGCACTTGCTTTGGCTCCTGGGAGTGCTGGGACCCGTAGTGCCAGCAGCAGCCTCCGGCACCGCTGCACATGGGAGGAGCAGAACAGCCCCCCTTGTAATAGTTATGGAATCATGGAATGGTTTGTGCTGGAAGGGACCTTAAAGCTCCTCCAGCTCCAACCCCTGCCACAGGCAGGGACCCCTTCCACTGGAGCAGCTTGCTCCAAGCCCCTGTGTCCAACCCGGCCTTGAACACTGCCAGGGATGGGGCAGCCACAGCTCCTCGGGGCAGGATGAATTCTGCTTGATGGATGTATAAGGGAGAAAAAGAATAAAAACCAACCAAGTGGCTGAGCTGGAATCAGTTAAAGCTCCATGCTGAGTCCTGGTGGCGTATGTGCCAGGCTGCTCTGCGGAGGGTGTGTGATGCTGAGCAGCCCCAGCAACAAGACAAGAGGATGTAAAAAGCCAGTCAGTGGGGATGTGGGCAATCCTGAAACGATGTGGGCAGCCATGAGGGGACATGGGCAACACTGACAGGACTGCTGGACCCACTGGGGGACTCACCCCTGCCGTGCCCTGGTGAGGCTCCGTCTGTGCGGGTGCTGGCCTCAGCCGTGCCCAGGGCAGAGCAGCTCTGGGCTGTGCTGCATCGTGCTACCCGGGATGCCGCGGGCAGAGGAAGTGTCTCTGCGGGACTCCGATGGCAGCCATCAACCCTGCTCCTCCCGGGCTCCCGCTGCGGCCCCGGGTTTCAGAAGATCCTTGGCTGGGCAGTAACTCCCCTTCCCTTTGATTTATTGTTCCCGGGCTGGACCCCCTCCTCCTGCCAACCTGCTCTTTCTCTCCATCCCCCCAGGAAGCCCCCCCCCAGCCCCACAGGCCTCAAACGCATTCCTGCTCCCTTTCATATACAGGCAGAGGGGAAGGGAGACGTTGACTTTGAACCGTCCCCTTTGTAGGAGCAGGGCCTATTGTGGCAGTGATGGTTTTAGCTGGGGGATGTGGAGGGAGTCAGTAGGGGTTCTCAGTGTATGCCCCCCCCCTACATTTCAATGGGGCGATTTTGGGGGGGCTGTGAGAGGTCCCCAGTTCTTGTGTGGGGTCACTGTGCACCAGTGGCTGGGTTTGGCCACATATTTGGAGCAGAGCCTCCAGCCAGCTTCAGGAGGATGGACTCAGGCCCAGCTCTGGTCTAACACAGCCAGGAGTGAGATCCTGCTAGAAAGGAAGGAGGAGAAAGAAATGTGTCCGGCTTCCCCAGCTTGCTGATGTGGCAGCAGGCTGGGGAGGACAGGGTGCACATCTGCGTGTCCTGTTGCTGAGGGCACCCTTCTGAGGCTGGTTTGGAGTGGAGATCAGATTTTAAGAGAGCATGACTGCAGATGGTGCCTCATTCACTGTCCACCCACCCTCTCTGTGGCAGATGATGGAGAAGCAGTTGGGGCTGTGCTGGGTGCTCTTGAGCTTCATGCCCGAAGCAATCTCACCTTGATCCTCTGGTCAGAGCCAGCCCCAGTCTTCACCCTGGGTCCATCAAAGGTCTGGGCAGCGTGTTCAGCTTCAGAAGCCGCATGTCTTGAAGGAACGCTGAAGCTCTTCCATGGCACCACAGTTTGCTTGGCTGCAGCTGGTCTGGGTGGACAGGATGGGAAGTTCATAGGAGGATATTTTGGTCCAGTTCTGTCACAGAATGGGTTTGGTTGGAAGGAACCTTAAAGCTCCTCCAGCTCCAACCCCTGCCACGGGCAGGGACCCCTTCCACTGGAGCAGCTTGCTCCAAGCCCCTGTGTCCAACCTGGCCTTGAACACTGCCAGGGATGGGGCAGCCACAGCTTCTCTGGGCACCTCACAAGGGAAGAATTAAAAGGCCTCTGTGTTACAGAGCCCGGCTGTACTTTGGGCATCACCTGCATCACCGCGGTGCCTGAACACCCTGGCTGCTCCTCCTGCTGATGGACACCTGGGGAACCTGAGGCATGGATGTGCTGGGGCTAAACAGAGCCTGCACCCATCCCCGGGCTGTCCTGGGCTGTCTGCGGCACAGACCTGGTGTCCCAGGACCAATGTTCCTTCCATGCCAGGATGCGATGAGGACACAACTCCTCAAGGGACAAAGGGCTCCTGCTGCTGTGATGCCCTGAGCCGGGGGTCTTCCTGGGAGGATCCATGTTTGGCTCAGGGCTCCCCAAAAAGCCTGAGCATGCTGTGAGAGGCTGCGGGGCCCTGAGAGTAAAGGATGAATTTGGAGAGGAGGGTGCAAGGTTGGGTGTCCAAATGGGGGAGCCTTGGGGCAGTCCCGGGTGATTCGGGTTGCGATGCTGCCATGGTCCTGATGATAATGGTGATGATGATGGGTGGCTTTGAGCTGAGCATCCCCAAGGGTGCCCAGGTGCTTGGCCGGTGAGTCAGCACCCACCAGCCACCCTGGGGCTGCTGAAACCAGGAGGAGACGAGATTGTATCAGCCTGATGGGGGGCTGGTGTGATCAAAGGGCCAGGAGAGTACAATGCCGGGCCAGGACAGCCCTTATCTGCTGGCCCCACGGAGGTGTGAAGGGCCTCTGGGGTGAGGGGTGATGGGGCGGGTGGGTGCTGGGTGCTGCAGGGCTGGGTGTGGGCTGTGCAGGCACAGTTGGGGGCTCCCGTGCAGCCCTTTGCTGGGGAAACCTCTCCTGGCAAACACTGGAGCAAGAAAATCGGCTCTGGTTCTTGCCTGGTCTGGGAAAAATCCCTTGGGAAGGGTTTGGGGGCAGAGGGGGGGTGGCTGTGATCGCTGTTCCCCAGGGAAGGTTTTGGGATGGGGGACCCGCAGCATCCTCCCTGTCTACCCCATCCCTCCCCACTCCGGAGAGGAGCAGCGTGACGAGGGAGCTGCCCCCACACCACACACTCGCATGGGTCTCAAACACGGTCGTTTAATAAAATCTCCTATTAAAAGAACTCCATACAACAAGAAGGGTGTGGGGAGCAGCAGCCCATGGGCCGGGAGCAGCGCACAGGTGAAGGTGCTGTGTGGTGACAGGCTCTGCCTGCTGCCCGGGTCCCCCAGCACCGCCGGTCACCAGCACAGCCCAGCCACTGTGCCCCCCACCCCGGCCTGTGCTGGCCCTGTGTGCAATGGCTCCTGAGTGTGCGAGGGGGCACCCCCTGCATGCAATGGGGGACCTGCGGCTGGGACGGTCCACACCAGGAGCTGGACATGGAGCCACGGCTGTGAAAAGCATCTCAAAGCCATCCTTACACTGGCCATGGCCAATCTACCTGGGAGGCTTTGGGGAACAGCACTGGGATCTGAGCAAGGAGCTCTGGGGAGCCCAGACACACACATGGACAGGGGAAGGGCGCAGGGTTCTCTGGAGCCCATGGGGTGCCTGGGATAGAACAGCAGACACCGTCCCCTGCCATGGAGGGATGCCCAGAGAGCAGAGACCAGCACAGCAAACCCATGTGCTTCAGACACCCCTTGCAGGCACCAGAGCCCCTGCCAGCCTCACTCCTTCCTCCCCCATGGCTACACAGGCTTAGAACCAAATCCCTCCACCCCTTCACACTGAGCATCAGAGAGCTGAGCTGTTCTTTGAGCATCACAGAGGCCCCGAGTGAGAGCCCAGCTGGCACCCAGGGCTGCTGAGAGGGAATCCTCTGCCAGCACAGCCCAGCATTGTTCCCAGGCCACAGGCACTGGGACTGCCTGCACTGCAGAACCCCAAGCACCAGCACCCCTAGAAGGGGATGGAGCCAGCACCGGGGCTGGGGCAGAGCCTCTCCTCCTGGATGGGCACTGCAAA